AAACTATGCTGATGACACTACAATAATTTTTATGCATGGACTTTTTATTTATTTTCTGTACAGATTTTCATATAAATTATTCTTTTGGTTTTGAATTTTCTCAAAAGGAAGCTGGACAGTTTTGGTATTTTTCTCTATGTTCTCTTAGCACAAATGGACTTTTACCAGGTTTAAATATAAGGATTATCATAATGATTTTTAAAAATCATTTCAGCAGGAATAACCATGGACCCTCTGCTCCCACTCCAATCCCATTTCTCCTTTTATTACTCCTCCCCCAAGATTAAAAGGAATTCGCCTTCTCTTTGAGGGAGGAATAATATAAGAATTGTGCTGCATTGAACTGTGCTTCATTTGAAAATAAATAACACATAAATCATATGTTTTATGTTTTTATTTTTTAAAATTTTTCTTGAACTAGAAATAGAATTGCTTAACATAATTAAGAATAATCTATTTCAAATGATTAACGTTTTACTTTCTGATGACACATTGAAAGCGTTCCTATTGAAATCTGAGAAATGGCAAGAACATTTACTATCCCTCATCAGTTTTGAATTCTTTGCCTAGGCAGCCTCATAGAAAAAAGGAATGTCATGGAAAAAAGGAAAAATAAACTCCAAGCACTGTAAAGAAGAAATTCAATTTTTTGCAAGTGATATAATGTTAGCTTAGAAATTGTGGCTTCGGGATTTTTTTTTTTTTGCTCTTCTTTTTCTAGTTTCCTAATATGAAAGATTGGATATTGACTCCAAACTTTCCCCTTTTTCAATAAAAGCAAAATGGGATAAATTTCCTTCCAAGCCTTGGGTTAGCTGCATCCTAGAAATTTTGATATGTCTTCATTTTTGTTCAGTTTAAATATTTTTTCTGTTTCCCCTGAGACTTTCCCTTTGTTTCATGGACGATTTCAAAGCATGTTGCTTCATTTCCAAGTGTTTAGAGACTTTCTTATTTATTTCTACATTTGAGTTCTGCTTCCATTCCGGGGCCCCTGAGTCCTGTCCAGGAGTCACGGCAGAGTCCAGCAGGAGGAAGCCAGAGTGGCCTCCCCGGCAGCCTCCCCCAGGGCTGCGACTCAGTAGGCAGGAGGGCGGGGCCTCCCTGGCTGGCATCGCCCGGGGACCTTGCCCTCCCCATGGGGTCTGTGCAAACTCCAGGTGGCTGTTGTCAGATTGGAACTGGACTTTGGGAACCCCAGCTGGTGCTAGAGAAGCAGAGCTACAGCACAAGCATCACATGCTTCTGAGCAAAAGGAAGGAGCAGTTTCTCAGAGGAGACACCGTTTGCCTCTTAGTTGGCAGGGGAAAGAAAGAGCTAGAGGATAGCTAACGCGGCAAAAACAGACTTTTATTCAGAAGCCATTGCAAAAGGAGGAAGGAGGCCTCAGGGTAGAACTCAGCTCAATTCTGAATGCAGCCCAGTAGGGACTTAGAGCCAAAGAGCAGGTTGGGTTGGGGCTGGTGGGTAGAAAATGACCGAAAGCAGACATCTTGGTAAACTGACCTCAAAAAATTCTTGCAGACAACAGGCTGGGGTGCCACAGGTCCCAAGGGGAAGGGTAGAGGTGAAGACCCTGCTCAGAGTAGGCTGAGTCTCTTCCAAACTGCCTGGATAGGTTTCCAGCCGAGACCGGACTGTGGGCCAGAATGGAAGGCCAAGGTCAGGCCCTAGTGGGAGAGGCCACCGAAGTGGGGTCAGGGAGAATCCTTGTCCCCGGAAGGCCTTCTTGGGTGGGCACAGTATTGGGTGCATTAGATGATGCAGGACAGAGAGCTACAGTGTGTGTGTGTGTGTGTGTGTGTGTGTGTGTGTGCCCGCGCACGTGTGCATGCATATGTGTAACAGTAGCTAAATCACTATCATTCAATAGTCCACACACTTGGAAAGCATAGAAATGCACAAGCTGGGTGAGCAAGCTGCTCCCAGGGCTAAGAGGCCAAGAGAGCATGCACCTCACAGAAGCAGAGGGCACAAGAAGGGTCTAGAGAGGCCAGCAGGGACTGGGCCCTGTGTGCACCATACCTGCTCTCACCTGGCTGGGACACACAGAGCCAGAAGGAGGGAGTCATCCCCAAATAGAGGGCCTGCTGCAATAGTAGCATAAACCTCCCCAGCCCCCAGCTGGCTCCACACAGCCCTGCACCCCAGGAAACCAAACATTCACTAAAAATAGTTCTCTCCTGCACTGGAGAGGAGAAGAGATCTTAGAGACAGGTTTTCTGGAGAATCAGTAAAATCACTGCTATACTCAATGGACTTTGATGAAAATTCACCTAGTCTGTCTTGGGAGCTGAGCCCTCATGGGGTCCTGGGAAAGGGGATGAGGGTGACTCTGTTGGACATGAGATACCTCTCCTTCAGGGAGGTCTCTGTTATTGGGGTGCAGCAAGAAGCCATCCAAACAGGCAGTGAACGCTCTGCTCCCACAGCCCCTCTGCCACTGGGACAAACCCACTCAGCTCCAGGCCAAAGGAGGGGCTGACCAAGGCCTGTCCCTGCCCGGGAGGTCCCAGGGCCATGGCAGTGGGGTGTCCCCTCCCCAACTCCCTTCTTTCATAAGATTGACATGGACAGGTGCTCCTGGACTTACAGAGTAGTCAGGTCACAGAAACCCACTGTAAATTGAAAATATCGTAAGTGGGATATGCATTTACCACACCTAACCTGCCAGGTACCACAGTGACACTGGGCTGACCAGGAGCATCAAGTCCGAGGATCAGCTGACCATCACCAGCCCAGGAAAAGATCCAAATTTGCAATCTGAAGTATGATTTCTACTGAGTATGTTTTGCTTCTGCAAATCATAAAGTAGAAAAATTAAAAAGCAAACCATCCTGACTCAGGAATCTGCTATATTTTCTTTCTATTTGATTAGATGATGATGGCAGAGCCTGGCTTTTAAGCAGACCTCAGAGCATCTCAGGGGAACCAGAGCCTAAGAGTAAATTCCATCAAGCTGGGAGGCTGAGGCAGAAGGATCTGAAATTTGAGCCCAGCCTGGGAAATTTAGTGATTTAGTAAGATCTTGCCTTAAAATAAAATATAAGGGCTGAGAATGTAGCTCAGTGCAAAGGCCTGGAGTTCAATCCCCAGTAAATCAAAAAAAAAAAAAAAAGAAGAAGAAGAAGAAGAAGAAGAAGAAGCATAATCCTCAGGCTCCCTTTCAGGTCTAGTCCATGAGCCCTGACAGGGTCCTGCAGCTGCCTCGAGGGGTGGAGCCTGCGGTGCACACTCCCTGTCCCCACCCTCACCTCCCTGGTCAGGTTCTATTCGGCAGCCCTCATGCATCGCTGTACCTCTCACCCGCAGCATCCTCTGCCATGGGAAGGAGGGATGGCACTGTGTGTTGGCAGGGGCACCAGAGCTTAGGTCCCTGCAGAGGGCTCAGGTGCCTGAGGCCTGCATTCCCCAGGGACACAGAAGACACTGTCCTGCCTGGCCCTGATGCCACGGCAGCTGCCTGAGAGTAGGGAGCACTAAGCACAGCCACCCGCCCACTGTGGGAATGGGAGCCTCAGAAGTGCACCCCTGGGAGACGCTGAACCACACAGCTGACCTGTGAGGCTCCTACACCTCAGCTGCCCACTGTTGTCGCCAGGAAGAAGGTGACATTTAGGTTTCATTTAGCAGCACGGGAGCTTGTGCTGATCCAACCAGTGGCAGCCAGAGCCACGAGTCAGCCATGAGCTGGGACTGGAAGCCAACATCTCTGGAGATTCATCTCCGGGGAGCCACTGAAATGTTATCTGCACCAACAAATGCCAAAGTGGTCTCAAAGTCATGGGATGAGGACAATAACTGTGTGCCACCCATTCCCATATCCCCGTGTTCCTTCTACACCAGCCACAGAGGGATGCTGTCTGCACCAAGCTCAGCTTCCTGCAGAGGAGGGAAGTTGGCCCCTGCTCCAGAGTGCAGGGGACAGTCGTTGCCCAGGACTGATGGATGGCCCATCAGGCTGGCCCTACAAGGACAAGCGCGGATAGGAAAGGGATGCTTATGTTCTTTTTTTTCAAATGTTCTTCTTTCACTACGCTCCTACTAGATTGGCCCAAATGTGGAAAATTGACATCAAATGCCAGGGAAGATGCATAGCAACAAGAGCTCTCATTCAGTGCTGCCGAGAAAGCCAAATGGTGCTGCCACTTTGGAAGAGTTTAGCAGCTTCTTACAGAACTGGACATACTCCTACTATATGACCTGGCAAGCTCACTACTAGGTGCCTACCTGGAGGAATGGAAAATGTCTGTCCACACCAACTCTGTACCCTGTACCTGGATTTATTTCCTTCTCTCTGTCTTTGATGGTACTAGGGATGGAACCCAGAGCCTGGTACAAGGAAGGTGACACTCACCATTGAGCCACCCTGCCAGCTCCTATGAGGATGTTTATAGCAGCTTTGCCTTTTAGACTTATTCTAAGGTATTAAGATAACATAAAATTTGGAGATTTAAAAGATTGAACATCTGGCCATTATTTTAGCCCAGGGATAATTTTTTTAAAAACAGCAAATTTTTTTAAAACTTCTTTAAATAAATAATACATATTTACAACTAAAAGAACTAGGAGAGACAAAGGTTATAACCCTGCAAGAGTCAATGAGGATGATACCCACAGGGCCGTAGCAGCATCTACCCGGCTCGGACCCCTCCCAGGCTGGGCACCGAGCTCCAGTTTCCGCTTGTTCTGGGGCTGATCCCTGAGAACTGACCTCAGCTCCCACTTCCCAGAGCGGACAGAAGCCGGGAGCTCCATGTGTGTCCAGGGTCCATCCTTGGGAAGGTCAGGGTGGGCAGAGGGCTCTCCAGGGTTCAGCTACTCACTGAGCTCATCCAAAGGACAGGCCAGGGCAGTAGGAGCTCCATGCCCTCTGCAAACCAGCAGGGGCCTGTGCCATTCCACTCTTTCCTGAACACAGAAGGGGCTGGGCAGTGCCTGGTGAGGTACAAGGGAAAACAACCCACAGATGTGCTGATCTGGAAAATTTTAAGAACTGCAGAAATCCACAGATTTCAGCACTCTGACCTGAGCCGAATCAGCTCCTTTGAGTCGCAGGACATTCTGCTGGGTCTCTCATGAATCAGAAGGCAGCTGTGTCATCCTGCCTGGCATAGGCGGGTGTTTTCAAGGGTTGCTTGGCTCAGAGGTGAGTGGCTGTGGGAGTGGGGAGGGTGTGGAGGTCCTGGAAAGAGAAACAGTCCTAGACCAGAAAAGGGGGGCTGAAAAGGACAGAGAACTGAACAGGAGAGAGTTGGACAGGAAGAGGGCTGAGCAAGAAGGCACTGGACAAGAAGAGCCTGAATAGGAAGGGACTGCACAGGAAGGCCCTGGACAAAAGGGGCCTGGACAGAAAGGGGCTGGATGGGAAGGGGGCTATATAGGAAGGACCTGAACAGGAAATCAGATTTACAGGAAGGGGTCTATATAGGAAGAGCCTAGACAGTAAAGGCATGGACAAGAAGTGGGATACACAGGAAGGGCCTGGACAGAAAGGGGTCTAGACAGGAAGGGGACTGGACAGGAAGGGCCCGGACAGAGACTGTGCATCCTCACAGAGCTAGTATTTCCACGTTGATAGGCAGTGCCAGGTGGTGATAGGGACAGAAAATCACAGTAGCCTTCATGCTTGGCCTGTTACTTCTGCAGGCACAGTGCTGCCCTTGGTCTGTCCTTTACTTCAATCCATCCTCCTGGCTCCACCTCAAGGATTCTGGGTATCTGGGCTTCCTCAACCCCCCACCTCCATATGGAGAGGAAGAGAGGACTCAGAATCTGAATGCAGGTGTAGGTAAGCATGGCATCACATGCCTATAACCCCAGCACTTAGGTAGGAGGATCACTGCAAGTCTGAGGCCAGCCTGGGCTACATAGTGAGTTCAAGGCCAGGCTGAACTACATAACAAGACCTTGTTTCCAAAAAAAAAGAATCTGAATGAGGCCCATAACAATGGCCAAACCCCAGCCCAGTGGGCCCACCATCACCTCTTCCTCCCTAAGCAGACACGTCCCCACCTGCAAATTTTTAGTTATGGAAGCATTTTCCTGGTTATCTCTGAATATGATGTCTGTCTGGCTTTTGCTACTTTCTCTAGAAACCAAGATAGCTACGTGTGAGACCCCAGTGATTCTCTCTACGTATCCTTCATCTTCCGTTGTGGTTTAGATCTAAAATGTCTCCCCGAAGTCTCATGCATTCAGAAGCAGGGCTTTTGGAAGCTGACTGGATTCTGGGGCACTGAGTTCACAGCTGAGTGTGCTGTTAGGAGGAGGGGCCTGGTTGGAGGTGGTCAACGGGCCATGAGCTGGAAGGGTGTGTTCTTGTCCCAGCTTCTCCTCTGTCTCTCCACTTCCTGGCTGCTATGATGTGAGCAGCTTTCCTCCGCCATGACCTGCCACCATGCCACTTCTGTGTTAGAGCCAGCCAACGATGGACTGAACCAACTGAAACCATGAGCTAAAATTAACCTCTCTTCTTTCAAGTTTTGGATGTCAGGTATTTGGTCCCAGTAATGGGGAAGATGACTAATACTAATAACCCTCCCTCCCATTCTTGTTGTACTTTGCACATTTTGTTCATTGCAAAAAGCTTCCAAAACTATATTTCCATGTTGCCATTTTGTTTCCCCATTGTGTGGCTCCTAGGTTTCATGCCTTCATGGTCTTTCAGTGCTGCTATCTATTATTCATTTCCTCCTGGTCTTTCTTTTACCCTCATGTTCTTTGTTGAAGAAGGTGTTGGCTTTGGTCCCTTTTCATCTCTCATTGCCCTTAATTTCCTTAGCAACTCAGCACACAAAGCCGTGTGCTTTTTACCAGGAAGCTGCTGCTCTGGATCATTCATAAGCTGGACTCACTGCTGTCCTTTATCTGAAAATCCCCCTTTAATAGATGGAGATCCTGGCCCTGAGGGGTACCCACTGTGCCTCACTGGATGCTGCTCATGGAACCACTGCAAACTTTTGGGATCCATGTGACAAGCTAGGGAGCAGCCTTGCAGGACCTTTATTTCTGCCCAGGACACACAGCCACCTAGGAAAGGGGCACAATCCAGCCCTCATTCTGGTCCTATTTGCAGAGGACCCAGCAGACATTCTGGGCAATGTATTCACCTGACACTTTTCTACAGTTTGGAGGGCTGTGAAGTTTTCCTGTCTTTGTATATTTCTTGGTTATTTGTTTTGTTCCATGGATACAGATTTAGGAGGGAGGCAGTTTTGAAAACTCCTTGACCCCAGAAGTCACCATGTTCCTTTAAGGCTCTGTGTTTACAGTGCACACTTTGAAAATAAGAAGTGGAAGGACAGAAGGCTCTGCTCTGTCATTCCCAGCAGCCACCTGGGTACTGGGAATTGTGCCCCACATAAGGGCTGTGCTCAGACTTCACAAGACCTGCATCTTCATGATTCAGGGAGTCCCAGAACACTGGACTCTGCTTTCAACTCTGCCTTGTCCACTAAGATTCCAAATTTGCAAAATTAGCATTAAAATCACCAGAGAGCAAAGTTTCCTTGTAAGATCAGCAATTCTTTTACCTTCTTTAGAAAAGAGCCCCAAAATATCTCCTCTGCTCACTTTTTTGTGTGTGTGTGTGCATTTCCCCTTTTCAGCACAGCCAGACACAAAGAGGCTTATCCAGGGAAAAGCAAAGGGTAAAGCGCCATGCAATCTGTCCGGTGGACCTTCGCTGGAAATGCAGAGACAGTCTGATTCATCAAATCCCTCTGTGTTCTGCAGTCTGCAGCCAGTGCAGCTGAAACTGCCTTCCATTGTTCCAGGACTCATCTGCCCCTCAGTCCCCCAGGCCAGCTCACCTTGTTTCCATACCAGGGCATGTGCCGGCAGGAGCTGAGCACACACTGAGCTTCCGGTCGGAACACACAGCCTTCTGTGTACAGTAACAGTGGGAGGTCCAACAAGCTGAGAACCAGGAGTGAGAACTGAAAATCTCCCAAGAAAATTTCCCATCTTGGGGGTGATGTGTGCTCCAGGCTTAAATAGCAGAAGGAACAAAATGGTTAGACAGTTTTGCCAAAGTGGAGTCTGATTGATAAGAAAGATGCTGTTGCCAGGCGTGGTGGTGCACGCCTATAATCTCAACACTTAGGAGGCTGAAGCAGGAGGATCACCACAAGTTAAAACCAGCCTGGGCTACATAGTGAGACTCTGTCTCAAAAAAAAACCAGAAAGGTGTTGTTGCTTGGGGGAGGCTTTGACTCCTGTCACAGGCTGTTTATCAGTCAGACCTGTTGTTCTCAGAATCCACGGTGACTGCAGGAGAGAAAGACAGAGAAAAGGATTTTAGAAAGGCAAGATGGAGTCACTTAGGACAACGTCCAGAGACCTGGGTGCCAAGCCACTGGTCTGGAATAGGACATAGCAAGAGCTGGTGGTTGACAATCAACAGATGATGTTCCCACAAATCTTGAAAATACTTTAGCTAGTCATGTTTCGCTGGCTTCAGCCTTGGGCAGTTAACCAGTTAACCTGTTAACACTCCTTAAAGAATCAACTTGCCCACACACAGAGCTGAGCGGGTCTCTGATCCAAAGTTTAAAGTAGTAAAGGCAGAGATTCCAAGCTTTGTCCTCCTATTGGACACCAGGAGGCCCGAGCAAAGAGTCGGTGCTTTTAGCAAAAGCAGCCTCTAAATCTGAATTAATCAATGCCGCAGCGCTCTGCAGAAGCGATTTCCCTTTGCTGTAGCCCACCTGATGCTCCCATCTGTGTCATTGGTAGACATGTTGACTTAAACTTTCATTTGTTCTGTGACTATAACAGTTCACGTAACCTCTTCCAAGTGGCACATATATCATGTTCCCAGGCCATGGCGGAGATTTGGCTCACAATATGCTATTTTCTTATTTTCTGTATTTGGGGTGGACACAGGGATACCATCAAAAGCCACTGTCCATTGCCATTCTCGTTGCAGGTCTCTGAGCACCAACCACACCGTGCTAGTGACTGTCACCCACACCGGGCTGCATGCTGCATGACTTTTCGTATCCTTCCACCAGTAATGGGATGCTCCTCACCCTTGCTCTGTGTTCTGTGCCCCTGTTTATCCACTCTTTCATGTGATCTCAAGTAAAAGTTCTCTGCCTGATGTACACAGGGCCAATGAGGCTCTGGCACTGGTTTTGTGAAAAGAAAGAGCTTATCACAAGGACAACCTGCAGAGAACCAGAGCAGAACCTCAAGTCCTCCTCTGTGGGTTGGCAGCAGGGATCTACAGGAAAGGAGAGGGGAAAGCTGTTTGTAGGTTGGATGACAAGAGGGGTAGCCCTGGGGCGCTTCCATGCAGGCATAGATGCCATCCTGCTTCTTCACAGGGGGAGTACTTCTTTTCAGGACAAGCACACAGCTTGGTAGATCTGAGCAGGAGATTTTGAGCGTCAGACATCAAAAGACCATGGACCAGAAAAGCTGGCTTCTGTGCAGGTCTGTTAACATCTGCACGTGGATTCTGGAGGCAAGTTTCTGAAAAACAGCTTAAGTACGTTGTTATTTAAAAAATTCACTCGAGGGTGTGTTCAGGCCTAAGTGGGTTTCATGTGGATATGAACCAGGCAGCCCTCTCCAAACATTTGAATTCCTTGGTCAATTGTATTTTGTTTCAGGATCTCTTACGATATTGCACACACATCTTTCCACTTTTTCCCCCAAATATTTCACTTCCTCTGGAATCATGAAACACTTTGAAAGTTGGATATGCATTTTACGTACAGATTCCTATGGGGAGAGTGACCGCATTCACAGTGTTCTGCCTCTCCCTTCCCCTCCCTTGAATTCTGTTCCCTCCTGATGTGTCCTGGGAGACACCTCGCTGTTCCCCTGGCTCGAAGTAATCTTATTTTCAGGTGCATTATACGATCTTGGTTTCTGTGCCTAAGACGGACCTTTTCTCATTTCTCTCTGACAAGTGTTCTGGGGAGGTGAATGACTTTTTCCCCCCTTATCTGCAGTGAGCTCGTCTTTTTGGCAAACTCATAATCATTCCTGTAGAAATTCCAGGAGACAACCTGCCCATCACTGGAGCTTCCTCTGACCGAAGGCTGCCAGACACCTGCCTGAAGCTCTGGAAACACAAACCAGTGGCCAGGGGATGGCAGATGCCAGCCCCACGCAAAGCTGAGGCTGGGCTGGTAAAACAGCCAGGCGAAGGAGGCCTCAGCAGGCCTTGCAGCCACCGTCCCCTCCTCCCCACTTGGCGTATCCAGGGACAGCCCACCATGTCCGCCTCCTGAGCCATTCCATGCATCTGCCATGGGGATCTCCGAAACAGATCCTGTCTCCTGGGTAAACTTCGCATTTATCCTAAAATGATGAGAAGAAGAAGAAAACAGCTCTGACCCACTTCACTTCTACAGGTCCCTAAAGCAGGGTGACCGGGATCCTGCTTATGCAGGGCATGTCCTGCATTTGACAGCTTTGCCCTGCATCCATCCTGCTTTGTCCAGATGCCCTAAATGTCCTGGATTCTGCTTTTCTTTTTTTTTTTCTAATAAATTGCAAAACTTTGACAGTTCGAGTTAATTTGCTGCCACAGTGCTTTGAACCTTAAATGGTACCCCCAGCCAACCTTCACCTTCACAAATGGCATCTGCATGACCCCTTACAACCCTGCCTGCACACGTGGCAGGAGGCAGCGAGGAAAGGCTGAGAATTAAAAGTACTTACTTTTCAAATTCCAGAAAGGAAATGATTGATGTTTGACCAAAGTTCCAAGTCAAGAACGAGTCACTGGAGCTAATTAGAGCCAACATCAACCAGGTCCCTCTGCAGACCAGCCAAGCACCTCCAGACGAGTCCAGACTTTGAAAAGAAGTAAGTGAGGCCCAGAGCTTTGGTGAGCTGAGCTTCTGGTGAACTGCAGTCCTCCAGCTCCCTGCTTCTCAAAGTCACCCAGCCTGAGCCCCAGGCTTCCCACCCTTGAGGAGGGCAGCTTGGCTCTGTTGCTTGAACGAGTCCTGGAAGCACAGCTGTCCCTAGCAAGCAGAAGGGACACACCCATTGTTTCACACCCAGTAGGAGTACAACTTACTTCTAGTTCAAGCATTCATAGCTTGGTCATCTGTCCAAACCCCTGTTGAGGATCAGTCCTCGTGTGGACTTATGCTTGGTGGATGTGTGCAGGCATCTGTGAGACCAAGTTCAATCTTTTCCATTCTTTCCATGGTTCCTGTTCATTGTGTTTTAGTTGTGTATTTGAGGCCCCAAATACCAAATTAAATGCCAATAATTTTGTGATGATTACTTTGAACAGTAGACATTTACTAAATAGAAAAATACATTGAACCTCTGTGTTCAGAATGCCGTTGCTCTGTTGATACTCAAATGGTGGGAATCAGGCCTACAGTGACTCAGGCTAACAGCTGAGCATGAGGGTGTACAAGTTCCTCCACTTGTACCAAAGGAAGTGATGAGATAACTTTTAGTTTTTTGCTTTACAGGAATTCATATGAAGAGCATGTATTAGTCAGCATTCCTATTGCTAAGACAAACTACCCAACACTCCAACTTAAAGAAGGAAAGGTTTATTTTGGCTCGTGGTTTCAGAGGGTTCAGTCCATGGTCAGCTGAGTCCAAGGCAGAGACATCATGGCGGAAGGGCCTAGTGGAGGAAAGCTGCTCAACTCATGGCAGCCAGAAAGCAGAGAGAGAAGGGGCTGAGGACAAGAACATATCCTTTCAGGCCACACCCAGAGACCTGCCTGTTCCAGCCAGCACTCCCCTCATTAGCACATTCAGCTATGAGCTCATTCAGTTATGATTAAACAGTGGATTAATTCACTGATGAGTGTAGTGCCCTTATGATCCATTCACTTCCAAAAGATCTGTGTCTGAATGTATGAGCCCTTCAGGAACATTTTTATCTAAACCCTAACAGAGGATAAAATAGCCTCAGAGGCTGTGTTGACTTCCAGGCTATGTATCACCATCAGTCTTTCCACTCCAATGACTGTCTTAACACACTGCTGCCAGGAGTATTTTCTGATTCCAACATTGCCAGCAAGTTGTCGAGTGCCAGCACAAATCTCCTGCAAAAGAATAATGTAACCACTCCACTTACCATCGCAGGAATTACCAGAGCTCCCTTACCTCACCTTTTAGAGCATAGCCACAGGGACAAGATGCAGTTCATCACAATCCAGACAAAAAATAATTCCCTTTGTTTGTGCAATATTTTTCTCCTGAAAAAGCCTTGCTTCTAAGGCTATCCCCAGTGTGATCCTATCTGAGGAGACATCGATAAAAATAGCAGAGTTTTGCAGAGATTCTCTTTATAGACTAAGCAGTTAATGAAAAAAATCATACAGCTTTTCATGAAGATAATATTAGTACATGTTCTGATGGATGTTTGTTCAAAGTGGAGAACTGAATGGCTCTGTGGAAGGGTCGGCTGCTCTGCCCTTATTCCTACAAAGCCGCTCCAACACATCTCGTGTTCTTTCTACTGACCTCAAAGAAACTGGCATGAAATTGTCCTCCAACTTCAGCATTGACACTGCTCAAACTGAGCAATCAAAGGACTTCTGTGACTCTCTGAACACTCAGTAGTGCTAGGTCATTCATTGTCTCTGTTTAACAAATTCAGTGGAGAGAATCATCAATTTATTTGAAGCACTGAAATCATACTTTAATTCTGAAGAATGACCCCCAAATTTCTTGTTGGCTTCATAAATAATTTACTGAGTGAAACCTACCTATTTCCTGTTCAGAGTTTTCAACATCCCCTTTAGCAATGGTATTATGCAAATTGACAGAAGAACAAACCGTGCTTTGAAGCCTTCTATTGCTTAAGGAACTCGAATACATTAGAGAAATAACTGAAGACATACTTATCCCTTTAAGTGTCAAGGCTGTGCAAAGGACCAGAATTAATTATGACCAGAAAGGAAGTTCTGACTCCAAGTGGACAGCATTTGCCTGCGACTATCTCTGAAATGTATTTCATTCCTTTACAAATTCTTTTCTTTTCTGTGGAGGTCTAAACCCTCCTTCAACTTGGGAAAAAGGGACATATAGTATTGAAAGTGAAGGGAACAAACATTGATCATGATGTTTGGTGGTGGAGGCGATGGTGGTGGACAACATCCTAAAACATTGATGAATGAGAAATGGAATAGGATCGCAAAGAATGGAAAAACAGTGTATAGCAGAGAAGCCCAGGTTACTCATCTCAGCACACAAGTCCAGGGCACAATTCTCAGAGCTGCTAGCTCAACACTGGGTGCACAGGGTCCACAGGCTCAGGATGGTAGAGTTGAGTGTGTTTCCCATTAACACAGGGTCAAGGGACAAAAGGAACATGAAGTGGGTGTGACTGCTGTAGAAGAAACCTTACACTGGAAATGACGAACGGGCTGTAATTGCAGGGAATGAGCTACAGTGGATCCTTGAGTTATGACCAGTCTGAAATCAAATAACTTAGGTTACAACTGGAATTTTAGTTTTAACTTATGACCAAAGTCTTGAGTTACAACCCCAAAGCTTCCAGATGGTCTCAGATACAGATTTAAGTCCTAAAGAGTTCTAGAAGGAACATTACAGCATCCTTTCCAGTGTGGGTTAATTGAGAAATCCTGGGCCAGTGTCTAAGGACCCTGGGATCTGCCTGGAAGAAAGTGTGGCCTGAAATGATACAGGAGAGAGACTTTGAAGGCAGCTGGCCAACTTGAGATACAACCTGTCCTTGGGAATGAACTGAGTTTGTAAGTCAAGGGTCCACCGTAAGTGAATTTTGCAAAAGAAAGGCTAAAAAGAGCCATGTTTTAGGGAAATGTAATCCAAGTCCGCAACTTGATTACTTACAGTTTATTTCAGACAAACAGTGAATATCTCTTTGCATAATATGTTCGTGCAATACTTGTATCAGTGGATGTGTGCATAGGTCATTTGAAATAACTTAAAGGGCATCAATATTTATGTGGTCTTAGCCTGGCAGCCCCACCGAGAGGACCTCACATCCCTTACACTGTGTTTTCCAGAGACCCTGTGGCCTTTATACTGAGGAAAAAAAACTAGTAGCCTTGCTCTGTTCTTAGGCACCATAAGCAGATTGATTTTACTAACTTCCTAAAACACAAGCAGAAATTTATTCTTGACATCTCCAGTTTGAAGGGGAAATTTTTTAAAATTTAACAATTCCCTGAGATGCCTGTGCAGCATCTAAATCGGTTCAGGCTGCCACAAAAAAAAAAACAAACATGGACTGCGGGGGTTAAGCAACAAGAACATATTTCTCAAGTGTTCCAGAGCTGTAAGTTCAAGGTCCAGGTGTCCACGGTTTGGTTCCCTTCAAGGGCTCTGTCCCTGGCTTGCAAACAGCCACCTTCTCATGGTGCACAGGAAGCTTTCTGCCTTTTCTTCTCATACACACATGGATCCCAGCATAATGGCTCCACTCCCATGACTAACTGCCTCCCAAACGTCTCATCTTCAAACACTGCCTTTGAGGGTTAGGACTTCAATACATGGATTCATGAGAGAGACGCAAATATTCAGTCCATTACACAGATGTTTTTCCTTCTCTGTTCTTCCCTTTAGAGAATTTCAACAGAGTTCTGAAAACACATACACATACATAATCTCTTCCCACCATGAGGACCCCTTGAGAGTCTGAAGAATATTGAAAAGATAATAGAAATCACTGTACTTTCCTTCCTTGAAAATGATGTGATGGCTGGAGCTGCAGCGGCACCTCTGTGGCTATGAGGAGCAGGCCAAAAGGATTGCTAGGAGGACTTTGCTGGTGTCACTGAGCTGCAGAGGTAAGTGCCAGTCTTCTTGTTTTATCTGAGACAATGGAGCTCCCCTTCTATTGCTTCTATCTGAAAATATCCCAGAGTCTAATATTCCAGAGATGCCCTAGGCATCTCAACACAGGAAACCCCAGGGTCTATACAACTGACGTGGCCGTGCATGGAGGACAAAGACATGGAGTGTGCTACAGTGGCAGGCAGTGAAGATCCTGAAGAGGCCAGGATGAATTCTACAGCCCCTGGTGTCCGGGAAAATGCATACCATTTTTATTTTAAGAGGCACGTTTAATTTAAAAGGGAAGTGTCAGTGAGATTTTAAAATATTCTTGAAGACATACTGTGTTCAAATTTAAATCTGAAACTGATGGGACGCTGAATTACAAAACATAAAAGCTGGGTGAAGCTGCCTAACCAGGTCTGGAAAGGCCAACGCGGGCTCTGGTCCAGGCTCAGCCCTACAATACAAAGGTCAGTGTTTCTGAGCAGCCCTGGGTCAGAGGGCACCTCCGCCCATCAAGTTGATGGATTTCACCAGGGCTTTCCGGTACAGCTAGCAAAATAACCAACTTCCAGCTTTGGTTTGGGAAGCCCCGCCCAGGCCGGAAGAGGGAAAATGCTAATAGGAGCACCACCGGGATGAATAACAGAGCTCTGATGTAAAAGGGGAAAGCAGGACTGCTACACAGGCTGTCCACAGCGCTGGGTCTCATGCGGGGAGCGCACAGCTGGGTTGGGACAGCTTCTTCCGGAAGCAACTGAGTCTGGGAGTTGGCAGTGGCACAGGGCAAGACTGCAACAGCAGGGCTTTAGGGTTTAGGGCTTCTCCCACAGAACTGTTTTCCTTTCACAGCAGCCCCAGGGAGTGAAGTCGTGATCAGACAGGGCTGCCTGCCTGCTCTTGGTCCTCCTCAAGGGCACAGCCAGGCCCAGGGGACCTGCTCCGACTCCCTGGCAGCTGTGAGACCCTGGCCCGTTATTCACAGGCTCTGTGCCCACTTCCCTCCCTTGAGAACTGGGGAGGACCCAGAAAGGGTCCGATGAGGTCGTCACCAGGTGAGGTCCCCCCTGCTTCCTTGTCAGTCACCTTCTCACAGCACAGCGATACTGCACATCTCCTTCCACAAGCCCCAGCTTGCATTTTAGCAAGTGAAGGGCCTCATGGCCTGCCCTCTTCACTGTCACTTCCTGGGGATGCTGGAGAGTGAGGTTTGTGACGAATCAGACTTTTAGAGTCTATCAGTGAAGACCCCATCCTTGCCTCTGCCTAGTGGCTTGTACCCTCACAGTACCTGGGGGGCACAGCACCCAGGGTAACCCCCCTTCCCCATCCTATGGTGCTGAGGGGAGAGGGTATCACCTTCCTGGTCTTGAGCACCGGATCCTTGGGGTGCAGTAAATGCAGCATCTTGGAGTCACTCTCCAAAGTCCTGGATGTCACAGATGCTACAAAGGCAATATCACAGACTCCCCTAACCCTCTATGGCCGGGCACCGGATGTAGATCCCTCACGTTACAAACAAGTTCTCCCCTTGTCTTTCAGCAGAAGCCTCCAGAATTCCCTCAAGGACGATCGGGACCCTGATTTTCAAGAGTGCACATTCCCAGAAGCAACAGCCTTCATGTCCACGCCTTTTGATGTCACAAGCTCAAAATCCCCACACAGAGCATGATAACCAAAACCATGTGATCTGTAAAGAGACATGATGACCATCTACACCTGCGCAAAAGAACCCGAAAACTCCCCTTTTCAACACCCACCCGACAAGCAGCTTCTCCCTCGCCCCTTCCTATAAATCTGCAGCTACCACGTAATCAGGAGACAGATTTGAGCTCAGTTGGACACAAAAATCAAGCTCTTTCTTTTCACAAAACCCAGTGTCAGGGCACCCTGGCTCCATCACGTGGAGGTGATGAGAACATTGGAAAGAATCATAACTGTGGTTGACTAAAGCACATGCAATTTATAAAAATTCACAACCCCATAAAAATGGTCAAAGAAGAGAGTGAGGAAAGTGACCTCTCTGCTTATTAGAAAGGATTTGCAGATCATACAGATGAAGAAATTCGTGGATCGAGGTGTGTGGGAAGGGGCAGGACCTTCCATGCCCTCTGGGCTCTGCCTTCTAGGAATCTCCATCTGTACAGCTAGTTATTCAGAAGCTCCCAAACCTAGTCCTGGGCCATGTTTATGAAGGCTTCATTATCTAGACATGATTGATTACATCACTGGCCAATGGGATCAACCTTACCCTGAGCCCTGCCCCTTCCCTGAAGGTTGGGGGCAGGGACGGAAGTCCTACCCCATAACCCTCCCTGGTCTTTCTGGGATGACCCCCTGGCCAAGGCTACCCAGGGGCTGCCAGCTATCAGTTATCTCATTAGCAAATGGATAGATGCTGTCACTTCGGAGAGTCTAAGGATCTTGAGAGTTGTATGCCCTGAAATAGAAACATAAAATAGCATTTCCCAGCATCACTTATCCCCTAACAAAATAACCAACTCAAGTCTTCTTCATCCAGGGATGCTAAGGTGGTGGATCAGGTGCTGGATATTCTCAGGTTGCAGAGTTCCTCCCAGCACCAGGGAATACACACTTTGGCCCAGGAGGTGGGCCACAGTGAGAGATGGGATGTGACCCAGGACCACAATCCTGGTGTCTTCAATATGTCAATGCCATGAGAAAGAGAGACGGAAGGAGTGACTTAGCTTGAAAGACATATGAAAATATAAAACCCAAAGTTACATCTCTGGTTTGCAGGAGCCACACTTAAAGCCATCTCAGGGACATTAGATTTTTGTGTGGATATTAGATAATATTAAATGATTGCTGGTTTTCTTAGCTATAAAAAACTAGATTGAAATTGTATGAGACAATATCTTTAATTTTATAGGAGAAAAGAAAAGTAATTGGGGTTAAATGCCACAATGTGTGTCATTTTTTTAAAACAATACTGCAGCAAAAATGATACTTATAATCAATATAGGTAAATGGTAATCATGAAAGCTAGGGCACAGGTTTACACATGTTCACAGTCACTCTACTTTTCTTGTGGCTGAAAATTTCATGATGAGAAAAGAATAAGAAAGACCAGTGGCTCCACAGCAGCACATTAGAAAAAGGCCACATCCAGGGCAGATCTTTTCTGGTGTCTCTACTGAAGGACCAAAGGGAAGGTGGGCAACCAGGCCACTGCAAGCCACTGTCATGCCTGACCTGAGTGAGAGCCTCTCAGCAAACACCACCCTCAAAAACAGCAAGAAAACACTAAGGGCCATGCTGTCCTCAGCAAACAGAACAGAGAGCCATACAGAAAATTTGGGACAAGACATCCCATCTCCCCAGTACCAAGAAACCTGACATCTACACACCTGCACTGAGCATCCTGAGATCCTCAAACAAAACCATTCCACCCCAGACTCCTTAGGGCAGCACCCCCTTACCCCAAACCCTATAAAAATTTTGCTTCTTCTCCAGCCAATTGCTGATATCTTTCTCAATCTCAGCCTGTCTGCACCCAGACAGAATTAAATCAGCCTTTTGCTCACAGGAAGCCTGTGTCTGGGTAGCAGGGAACATGGGAGACCTTGGAAATCAGCCCAGGGTGGAAATGGGAACAGATTCCCTGTGGTGAGATGTACTTCCAGGTCAGCAGGAGGTCACCCCAGCAATGAAGTCCTTTGACCTTCAGAAACCCTTCTTACTGGGGTGGAAGCAAGGCAGCAGGGTTTAGAATTTATACCAAGTAAATTAAAAGAGGAACATAGTAAAAGCCTTTGGATTGAATAGGAAACTAGTGTTGTGCCCCAGCCAAAGGCCCTGTGGCTACTTGAGGGAATTCCAGGTGTCTAAGAGTCTTTTGCACTTGGCGGGGGGGGGGGGGGGGGGGAAGCCCATCCTCCCAGCTCCTGGAGAAGGAGTGGCTGCCACCATCCAAGGAGTGTGTGGAGTGGGAAGGGGTCACCACAGGGACAAGCAGAAGCCCGTGCTAGGGAAGGAGGAGGAGGAGGAGGAAAAGATGTTTAGAGGGGTGTGCAGTTATGCGTGAGTGTGTGTGTGTGTGTGTATATATATATATATATATATATATGTGAGTATATGTTTGTGACCTGATGATTTCACTTTATTTCCTTTTTCTTTCTTTTTCTTTTTTTGGTAATGGAGGATTGAACTCAGGAGCTTTGCACTGAGCTACACCCCCAAGCCACCCTACCCCTCCTTTTAATTTTTGAGACAGGGTATCGCTAAGTTGCTACAGTGCCTAGGCTTAAGGTCTTCCTGCCTCAGCCTCCCAGAGTGCTGGGATTCCAGGTATGTGCCACCATGCCTAGTTTTCATTTTTTAAAATTCTTGGGCCGGGGATTTAGCTCAGCGGTTTCACCGCCTGCTGCGCAAGCGCAAGGACCCGAGTTCGATCTCCGGTACCAAAAAAAAAAAAATTATTTTGGTGTGTGCAAAGCACAGACCTTACCACCGAGCTTGACCCCCTGCTCCTATGTCCTGATTTCTTTCCCTGACTTTTGCCCTACAACAGTACATTAGTCTCGTGCAAATAATGCAGTCACCTGAAAAGGTCCCTCCCCAATACATTATTTTTAATGAAGTTTTTATTTTACAATATTTTTTGATTTACAGAAAGCTGCAGACAGTACAGAGAGCTGCCATACACACCAAGCTCAGGTTCTACTATGAATGTCTTACAATGCTCCCGAGCAGTGAGTTCAGGTTCACACTGCTCCTCAAGAATGCAGGACACCATCTTTGTAAAAGGCCAGCTGGGAACGAGGTAGAGGGGCCTCCTACTGCCTCAGATCTCCGTCTCACCTTGCTCAGATTACAGGGCTGTCACAGTAAGGAAGAGGGGACAGGGACAGTAGGAGACAATTGACTAGGAGGATCCCACTCTCAGCTCCAGCCCTTCCTTGTGGGAACAAAACCAACACAGACCTCCTGGGGTTGCCATCAACTGGCTGACGAGCCAGTTTTCTGGCCAGTGGGACATTTCTCTGTCCAAGCATCTGAGCTAAGGAGAGAAGGGTGGCATCTTGTGCTCTGATAGGCTGGAGAAACAGCCTATCTCTAAAAGAAAAAAATATATAAAATTTTAAGATTCATTTTACCCTCTTGGTTACACTGTTGTTGGTACATCTGTCACAGCTAATGAACCAGTGCTGATACATTTCTATTAACTGAGGCTCTCACGTTAGTCATTGCTATAGTTTTTACCTAATGTCCTTTTCCTATTCTGGGATCTCGGCCAGGTCACCACATTATGTTCAATATCTTATTTCCTTAGGCTCTTCTGGGTAGACTTTCCTTATTTTTGATGACCTGGACAGTTTCTGATGACTTTGATACAGTCAGAGACCACCATCAGGAGGGACAGTGGACAAATTCTTGGGGCCTTAAAGGTTTTCATTAACAGCATGATATCTTTTCTTCTGAGACAGAAGAAAATCATTTTGTTTTGTTTTGGGTTGTGTGTGTGTGTGTGTGTGTGTGTGTGTGTGTTGGTATTTTTTTGCTAAAATCCATGACTCTTCACTTTGGCCTACAGATGCCCAGTAGGTAACTAAAAGTAGAACAAAGCTCAATCTTCTTTTCGTAAAACTCTGGGTCAAATTCTTCTCATCTCTGCATATAGGCAGGTTAGTCATTTAGGGAGCGTCTGTCTCAATGTTGACAAAGCAAGATCTGTGAGGACTAAATTCACCTGGCCTGTCTTATCACCCTTCAAGACTGAGGATACCAAGGGAAGAGCTTTAGAGGGATATTTAGCTACACCCAGAAGTCTCCATGGCCCTAAGCCTTCAGTCACCTTGGATTCAAGCAGACCTTCACAGGACTGAGCCTGCCCCAAGCAGACACAATCACCTCTGGTGTTATGGCTTAGACCTAAAACGTCCTCTGAAATTCTCCTGTGTGTGGAAGGTGAATGGGTCATGGGGTGCTGTCTCATCAGTGGATTCACGCATGGGCAAGTTCATGGCTGACTGTGCTGTTACGAGGTGAGGCCTGGTTGGAGGTGGTCACTGGGGTGTGACCTGGAAGTTATTTCCCTCCCTGGCTCCTCCCTTCTCTTGATGCTTCCTAGCTGCCATGGGTTGAACATCTTTTCCTCCAACATGCCCCTCTGCCATCTTGTTTCTACCTTGGAGCCTGCTGACCATAGACTGAAACAGTGAGCTGAAACAAATCTCTCCTCCTTTAAATTGTGGCTGTCAGATATTGTGCCCCAGCGATGGGAACGTGACTAAGACATCAGGAGAACCGAACTGTACCTCAAGCCATAAATATTCCTCTAGAGCTAAGATGATGATCACCCAGACCACAGCAGCACCCCTTAAACTGGTCTTTTGTGAATGGGCTGGCCCACGTGACCCCTCTCTTCACACCTGTGCCCCCTTCAGCTCCTCAAACTGAGGCCCTTTCCCTATTTTTACTTTCCTTTGTTAGGGACAGAGTTTGGTCTTTGTCAGTGCAGTGCCCCTCTCTTCATTTTCTCTTACTGTCTAATTAAAGCTTTTCCTATAATTTTGTGCTGAATGCCTCAGTTATAATTTCCACTATCACTGTAGCAAGAACCTGCACCCTGTGAAAATTTGGACTGTACAAGTGTTTTGTACACTGCCCTTCAACTGAGTTTTGTCATCAGACTAGGATTACATTACAGTGTCATGCTGAATAATTTTGTTATCCTAAAAATCCTCTATTTGATACCTATTTGTTCATCCCTCCTCTCACCTAGTCTCTGGCAACCACTGATCTTTTGCTGTCTCATAGTCTTGCATTTCCCAAAATGTCATATAATTGGAATCCTCTGGTTTATCCATTTCCATACTGAAAGACATCTTGGTTGATTCCAGGTTTTGGCAATTATTTGTAAAGTTGCTATAAACATCTATGCAGAAGTTTTTGTGTAGACAGTATCATGGCTTGGAAGGTAAGTGTGTGTTTAGTTTCATAAGAAACTACTAAACTGTTTTCAAAGTGGTTCTACCAGTTTGGACTCACAGCAGCCACAAATGAGAACTACTGCTTCCCTGAGTCCTCTCCAGCATTGGGTGCTATTGTCCATGTCTGGATTTTCACCATTCTAATAGATGCATAGTGGTATCTTACGTTCATTTATAATTCCCTGAAGACATATGATATTGAAATCTTTGTATGTTTATTTGCCTTGTATATGTCTTCTCTTATGAGGTATCAGTACAAGGCTTTGCCTGTTTTTTAATTGGGCTATTAATTTCCATATTGTTGAGTTTTAAGAGTTCTTTGTATGGTTTAAGATAACAATTCCTTATCAGATATATCTTTTGAAATATTTTCTCCTGGCCTGGGACTTTTATTCTCGTTCTCTTGACACTTATTTGCAGAGTGGAAGTTTTTAGTTTGACCCAACCGTACCTGTGGTATTGAATCTAAAAAGGTCATCACCAAACCCAAGGTCATCTACATTTTCTCCTATCTCATTTGATAGGCGTATTTTAGTTTTGCATTTTATATTGAGGCTGTGGTCCACTGGGAGTTGATTTTCTTTAATCACAATGTAAAGTCCATGTCTAGCTTTCTTTTTCCTTTTCCACTTGTTCTGGCACCATTTGACGAAGAGACTCTCTTCTCGCTATTGTATTGCCTTTGCTAATTCACTGAAGACCCATTGACTGTATTTGTATGGGTCTATTTTTAGGCTCTCTGTTCTATTTTATTCTTTTATCAATATCACTTTGTACTAATTTCTATAGCTTTATAATAAATCTTGAAGTCAAGTAGTATTGTTTCCAGCCACTTAGGTTCATATGCTCACTTTCATTTGCTCACTACTGACCAAATCAAAGGAAGCCATTTATTTCAGTAAAAAGAAAAAAGAATTTATTCAAAACTAGCTCATAGGAGATGAAGGGCTCCATTTGCCTCAAATCATCATTTCCCCTTGTATAGGTGGGTAAGGGTTTTTTACAGTAAGGAACAGATGGAGAGCACAGAAAAAGAATGCAGATATCCATGCTCACTTTATCACTTCTAGCCATCTGTAGCTCATTCTCCCCTTTCTTGTGGAAAGGAAACTGGTCCCTCAACCTCCTGGAGCAGGCATCTGCATATTTTGTCACCGGTTTGGGGCTGAGGAGGGGAGGGAGTGTTGGTCATGCACTTATCAGGAGGAAGTTTGGAGATGTTCCTTATCTCTAAAAGAAAAATATCTAACATAAAGTTCCATTTTGCAGTGCCAGGTACAATATCAGTCCTTCAACTTTGTTCTCCTGTAGCATTGTGTTGGCCTATTTGGGATCTTTTCTTTTCTAAATAAATTTCAGAAAGTTTGCTGTTTTCCACAAAATAACGTTCTTGAATTTTTATTTCAATTGCATTGAATCCATAGATCAAGTTGGGAAGAACTGTGATTTTAACAATATTAAATCTTCCTATCCATGAACATGGAATACCTTCTCATTTATTTAGTTCCTTTTATTAGAGATCATACAGATTCTGTACATATTTTCTTATATTT